AAATCAGACACTTTGTAGTTACCCATTTAATTTAAGAGAAAACAAAAAAAAATTAATTAAAATGTAAACAAAAATATACCTCTATGTTTTTTAAATTAAATAGTACTAATAAAAATGTAATTAATTCTACATATCAATTATATATAATTGAGTATAATCACCTACATTATAAATTAATTAATTTGAATTTATTCACTGCAGTTAAATCAATCTAAATATTCTTTTTTCTTAGGAATAACAAACACACATGTAGTGAGTGGGCAGTGGAAGTATACTCCACTGACTAAAAGGTTGTTTTTGTCTTTATTTTGAGTAAATCTGATGATCAAAAATGCAATTATTTGTCTCTTTCTGACTTCCCTCCCTCCCTGTGGCCAAGAAGATCTTTAAAAACAGCTCACAAATCTATCTCAGACCGATCCAACACTCCTCATTGTGTTTCAAACAATTACTGTGCGTCGGAGGCTGCACCATTATACTGATGCCTCCCCTGCCTGAATGAATGCTGTCCTCAATCTCTTAGTCATTATAGGTGTGTGTGTGTGTGTTATTCTTGTTCTATAAAGAGTCTCTTATTTTGTATGAACTACCATTATTATCACTACCTTTTATATCAAAAGAAAATCTACAGATGTACTCTACTTCTTTATTATTATTATTATTATTAATTTTATTATTGTCTTTTTTTTGTTACTTGTATGTTCATTTTAAAAGAAAAAGAGAGAACCACCAATCCAAATCCAAGGCGTAAAATGTTTAAATTTCGGCAATAAATTAAAGTATTGTCAAAAATATTTGTATTTTAACATTTAGACATTGTAGTTTTCAGTTCCAATAAGGACAGGGGCTATTTTCAGCCCTGAATTAATACGTGTTTACAGCAGCAGGACAGGGTTTGTGGGATTGACTCAAAATAAGTGCTCATGTTCATCGTAGTGAGGGAACGTGACATCCTGAGCAACGGTGTGACTCTCTCTGGATGCAATGCAGGTATATAAAACAGAGGAATAAGACTTTCACTGTACAGATAATAATTGTAGGATCTTATTGTTTGGATCTATTAACTACAAGAATATTTATTAAACTACTCCACAGCTTGGACTCCACAAAGGCTTTTGGAAAGAAGACTAAAGAAGACTAAAATCTAAATTTAAAATGAACACAAACAGTCTCTAATACAGGCCTGTTTACATGTTAGAGGTCTGTTTGTCACATTTTAGTATGTAGTACTTGAGAGTTACAAGCTTTATGTATCTTACCTAATATTTAGTTCAAAGTTTATGTTTGTAATGTCTCATGTGGGTGGCTTCTTTATATATTTTTAATACTTGACATATAAAAAAAGGCAAACCAGAGCTTTAGTGTACCAGCCCACACACACAGAGGAAGCTGTGGTACACAAATGGGAGAAATAAATAAGAGAGACACTGACAAGTAGAAGAAGACTGCATCATCTAAGCTGATCAAGGGATTTGCTGATAGCCATGTTTAAATCAGTAGTCCTGTGTAGAGTCAAAGCAAACTCTGCGACTGCCTCTGGGTTGTAGAGGAGATGGACACATGTCGCCTGGGGAACATGTGGTTTGGTAGTTGAATAGGTCAGAGATGAGTTATTCATTATAAGTCATGAAACACATACCCCCTCTACAAACTTTCATAATGTGGCTAACAAAAAGGTTGAATTAATTATGAGGCTGTGCATTTGTGTGCTCTTCGGGTGATTTTTCATTAGTCTGAGAAGTTGCAGATTTCTGTGCCACTTCAACGTTTTAATACTCTCAGTCATGTAGTGCATTCATGAGCTCATGTAAAGCTCTGAGTGTAGGCTGTCAAGAACCCATTCACTGCCAAGCTGTCAGAAAATATCACAAAAACAAACAGTAAACATATATTGGCCTGATTCTTAGAATAATGAAAATTTGGCAGCTTATTTCGTTAAAATAAACAATGTTTAGCCCCCTCTATATTAAAGGTGGGGGGAGCAGCGGCCTGCAGGGGAGTTTTTAAAGCAGAATACAAAGTTGTAATTTTATATCAGCTATATAAGTGTTGTTAGACATTAAAAGAATATTTCACCATTTTTAGAAATATGGTTTTACTGAGTTAGATGAGAAGATTGCGATCGATTTCCTCTTCGTGTTCAGTACAAAGATTGGTCCAACAGGTGTTTACAGAGCTAGTCTTGTTAGCTTGTAATCTAGAATCACCTGGATTTTTGTTCAGATTCAGGAAAATATGAAACGTGTTAAAATGACAATATTTAACTTGTCTTTTGAAGGCACCTTTGACAGAAACAGGCCTCCGCAGCCAAATGGCTACAGCGCTTGAATACAGCCTTTATTGTATGTCATACCACTCTCTCGCACCCATTTCCTGTCTGCATCTTCACTGTCTAATAAAGGTATTTAAGAAAAAGCTAAAAGGGAGTGAGACACACAGTTGTGTTAGTATAAGAATCTATATAAGAATCTATTTTGCACATTGTGTGAAAGTGTAAAATATTTTGAGCTAGCCAGTTGGCTACATCGTTATCATCACACCACTCATAAACATCCCTAACTGCCACACAGCATCGGTAAACTGAGAGGAGAACAAGAGGAAAATGTGAAGCGGGTGTGGAATGTGTGGAGGACAGCAGACTGACACAATGTACCACACAAGTATTATATTAGCCTCCGATTATAATTCAGTGAAGACATTCAACATGTTCTCCTATGTGTCTTATGTGTCTGTAGCATCTGTACAGTAGTTGCATTTATAACATTATCATACTCAGATTTTCCAACTCTTTGACTCACACTAAATACACACAGATAAACTACAGACATTTTAATAAAGGCAAATGATCTATTCCCATAAATGTATGGAGCAACAACACAGACAGTCCCCCTATAGTGAGTTTTCATGTATTTAAATGTTTTACACGTCGCCACAAACAATTAACCTGTAATGTAATGAACAACATATCCTGACAGCTCCAAGTCACCACAAAACACTGCCGACTTTCAATTAAAAAAACATTACAAGAGTTATAAAAAACAGAAAGTCACAAGATCAAACGCAGTGGTCCTTCCTGCCAGAGCCTCATTTAAGCACAGTTACAGTTCAACCTGCAGTTCAGTATCAATAAAGTGCTGCAGAAGGGATAACTGTCACTACTGTCACTTACCTGAGTGTCTGCTCCTCTGCCGACACTCTCACTCTGATGCACAGCAGAGACTTTGGTGAGTCTATGTGTGGACATGTGCATGTTTCTACAGAGGGGATTAAGTGATGTAGCGTGGACTGAGGTCTATATTTTGGTTCTGTACTCTGGCTCGGGATCAAAAAACACCTACAGCCACATTTAGACAACCAACCATGAAGCTGCAGCTGCACCGTTTATATATCCGATCACGACATGTTTGAAAGAATCTCAGCTTTAAAGAAACTTAACACAAAGTATTTCTTTATAACATGAAATACTTGTTACTTGTTAATTAATGAGCGTTTAATACTCAGCTAATCTGCTTCATCGGGGTTGTGTTATTGTGGTGTTATCCGTGGCAACGTAAGTAAACAACCCAATCATCAGTCATGTCATCAGATTCTGATTCTTCATTGATTAGGATTATATGTGTGACATTTCCTTTTGCTACCCACCAATGAGAAGAGCACTAAAAAAATCATCCTTCGTGTAATAAAAATAAATGAAACTGAGGTGTGTCAATCTAACATTATATCACTTATAGTAAGAGGCTAATAAAGGGCTATTTTAAAAGCCAAAGCATTCAAAATGGTGAAATGTACACTTGCAGGAGATTTGTCAAGAGTCTGTACATGCAAAACAGGACTTACAGATATTTGTTTTTGATCATAACTTCTAATATTTTTTACAACGTTGAGATGTAGTTCAAATTGATGTTTAAAGCACCAGTGTGTTTGCAAGTTAGCTTTTCATTTATAAATAAATGTTACATTTTTGCTGTGATTGTACCGTAATTTTCCACGTTCTATTCTCTTCTGTACAGTATGAAAATCAACTACAAGACAATGTATTAATGTAACTTTAAGAAAGATTAAAGGACCAGTGGGAAGAATTTAGTGGCATCTAGAGGTGAAGTTGCAGATTGCAGCGAACTGTCTGTATTTGACGACCTGGGAACGAGAACGTGCTGTAAAGTGTGAAGGAGAAACTAAGGACTACGGACATCCTCATAAAATGGTCTAAATGCATACTATGTAGACAGCATATCCTCTGTTTGATCCATGCTGGGGTCTGTTGTTGTCTGTTAAATAAAAGCAAAGGGGGAAAAGACATATAGCCTGTGGTCCAGACTTTGAATCTGATCCAGAGGCAGCTGCCCAATGCCTAAAATGTTGGATTCTGTAAATGTGAATGCTGAATGACCATCAATGTATGTGAGAAGGTGTAGCCACGTATTGAATATATGAATCTCTCCTTGGGCTGGTTCCTGTCTATTATTCTTGTCTTGTTTGATTCTCAATATATCGGTCAGTTTAAAGGCTAATTGTCACAACAATTGCCAGGATTTTGTTTTTTTATTATTATTCTTAAATTTCCATGATCCAAAACTTTATTGTAAGGTGTATAGGATAGGAGATCGAATCTATACCTAAACAACCTTCACCCTCAGGCCGACTTGGACACATTGATCCCATTATAACCACATATTTTTGAATACATGTAATCTTGACATATTATAATCTTTTTCCCAGTGAATAGCCTAATAAAGTGTGTGTGAGAGTGTGTGAGAGTGTGTGTGTGTGTGTGTGTGTGTGTGTGTGTGTGAGAGTGAGAGTGAGAGAGAGAGAGAGAGAGAAATTCGAATCAAAGGCCAAATGAGCTGTTTATGTTTTTTCTTGATCAAGAGAGAGCCTCCTCTCTCCTATTGGATGCTTGGTATAGCATGTTTATTCAGGTGCATTTTAAAAGTCTGTGAGAATAGTTGGAATGGTAAATGGAACTGTACTTGTATAGCACCTTTCTATTCAATGCGCTTTTTACGCTCCTGAGACCTGAGCTTTTGTTTGGGGTGCATTTTCAATTTCTCCTAGCTATTTTGGATTAGTAGGACCTGATAGACATAAAAACAAGCATTGTTTTTGAACAATTTGTAGTTTTCACAAAAAATGGGGACTTTTTTTACTATAAAACTTTGTCCCCATATGAGGAAGCAGGGTTGCAGGTGGCTATAATACAGCCACATTCGCCCTTTCACACACATTCACTCAGTGACGGCAAAGTCCATCGAACAGAAACTACCTCATTCATACACATTCACACACTCATGCACAGCATCAAGAACAATTCGGGGTTCAGTATCTTGCTCAACGACACTTCGTCATGTAGCGGGAGGAGCTGGGGATTTTCCAAAAACCTTCCGATTAGTGGAATTCGCTCTGCCTCTGAGCCACAGCCGCAGCCTTGTCTGGCTGATAATTTCTCCAGCAGACAGCCATGAAGAGAAGCCTGGAACTAGAGGAGGCTCTTGCTGCAGTCTTGCAGTCCTCTGAGGACAGTGAGCAGTATGTTACTGAGGAGGATGTTACCAGCAGTAAGGATTCATCTGAGAGCGAGGAGGGATCAGGGGAGGAATTCCTGCCAGGCACAGAGGGGCCCTGCAGCTCAGAGGAGGAAGAGGAGGAGGAGGAAGAAGAGGAAGAGGCAATGGAGGATGACACCTCTCCATGGAGTTCAAAAAATGGGGAAATCCTGTGGTCTCCCACACATGAAGAGTCCCTGCCATTTGCCCAGAGGACTGTCTGCAGCCAGCCTGGTCCTACAAGCCCGGGGCCAGGTCCATGGTCAGGAGGAGGAAGAGGAGGAGGAGGAGCCACAGCCAGGGCCCTCCAGAAAGCAGAGGCAGTGTGTCTTGTGCCCACAGCGCAGAAGGGTTTGGAACCAGTGTGCCAAATGTGGAGCAAATGCATGTAAAATGCATCTCACAGTGGTCTGTGCTTTGTGCCTTGAATTGTGAACACACACACATGACAAAACACATGACATCTTATGACAAAAAGGGCATAAAAACATAAAAAATATAAAAATAAAAAAAATTAACTTTATATCTATGGTTAGGTCCGAAGTTGTTGAAAAGATTTGATGTGGTGAAAGTAAAAAAAAAAATAAAAAATGTCTATATTACATTTTTATGAGGGACCATTTTGGGACCTAAGGTTAAAAAGTGTAACTTAATTTTGAAGTAAATCATAATTGGTGTTTTTAGGGTGTGTGAGGTGGTGTATTTACACTTATACCAAAGCCTGTGCTCACTGATCATAGCGCACACTATAGTCAGAGACACATGGACAAACTGTTGTTCGTCAAGATATGGTTATTGCACGTCTGGTTAAACAAACAGATAGAGTCCTCCCAGCTTTCATGCTAAGCCTTTATGCTAAGCTAGGCTAACCGTTGCACGACTCCAGCTCCTAATTCTGGGTGGCGTGTTCTCATTTCACTGTTGGAAAGACATTTCCCAACATGATTTGACATTTCTAGTCCAATTCATCAGCAGCTTTTATTTTTCATGTGGATTTAATAGTTTTGTCAAAAAGTTTTGTTTTTTAACCAAATACACATGGAGACAGCAGATGTCCTATAAGAATCTCAGCGTATTGGTTACAGATACCTCAGCCTGAGCTTGCACTCTACCACTAGCTTGCCAGACCCTTAAGCCACCTCCAGCACAGGGCCAACCAGATGAAAGAAATCAAGTGCTCCTTGTGCCTTTTCAAGCTTTTAAAATTACTTAGTCACTGCTGTGTCTGTCTGTGTATATAAAGGTATTGTAATTCTGGCCCTGCTCTGCAATCTCATCTCATGAATACACAGCTGGCAGAGAAAGGACACACTGTTAATGCCCCTATCCATTATGCATGTGTTTGTGAGTCTGCGTCCATGACTGTGTGGTTTATGTGTGTGTTTAGTATACATATTTAAACACATACAGGTCGGTGGTGTATTTTTCATGGTAATGGCTCTATTCCCTGCCTGTCAGACATTTAATGTCTTAATAGACAGATTCCCCCTGGAAAAATAAGTTACTTTAATAGACCTTTTTGTTGTTTGTTTCTGGAATCTAGCAGCATGTTCCATAGCTCTGCTTCATGCTCATTGTTTGGAACTTGTAATTCTATATGAGTAGCAGATTTTCATAATGTTGGGAATCCTATCATGGTGGTTTTACTGAGCACCTATTTGTAACTGACACCGCTTAGATCTAAAGCCACATCACAATGGCAGCTTTTGGAAAGCATATTAACACCTTTGGTATTGAAGAACTTCTCTGGCCAGTACCTCCACTTTTTTTATCATCAATGTACAACTGCATTTAGACACAAAATAAAAATTCCTGGCATACTAAGATTATGGAATGCTTTTTCCTTGCCACTGGTGATATGTCAATGATGACAAAATGACAAAATATATTACAGAAATGTAAATGTAGATGATTTTACACTTTGACAAAACAAATTTGGTTTCCATAATATTTCTGTGTGTAAAAAATGCCTTTCTTGCAACAGACATTTTTTCTTACTGTATAGGAGCAAGAACCTACAGCAACACTAACGTCAGCATGCTAACAATGACAAGGCTAGCATGTAGATGATCACCATCTTAGTCTAGTGAGTTAGGACACTATCATTAGGCAATTAGCACTAAACACAAAGTTGCTATGATTGATGGGAATGTCTTTTGGTTTTCCAAATGTCCTGGTAATCCATTCAGTAGTTATTGAGACATTTTATTCACCAAGTTCAGTAGGGTTCAACCTCGGGGGTCTATTGACATAAAAAATATCCCATCTCCACTTCCTCCCACTGTACAAAAATGAAGCCAAGATGTCCCGGACACAGCCACTGACATTTTTCACCACTCAAAGCCAGAGTCTCCGCAGTAGTTATTGGTGTCGGTGCAAGAACTGTCAAAAATGCCAGAAACCATCTTTGGAAAAAATGTATTTGACGTGTACTAGGATTTTTTTCATGTCCCATCTGCTAACATAGAGGCAACAGGCTTTATTACCTTTACTGCAGCCAGCCACTAGGGGGTGATCATGATATTTTGTTTTAACTTTTGGAGTGCTGTCATGTTGTCCATTTTATATATGTCGATGCTGGGGACCATAAATATCTGTGCAAAATCTTTCGCCATTCTATCCAGTATGAGATATTTCACTCAATAAATTAAAGCTCAGACTTGTTAGTGGTACTAGATGAAAAATCAGGGCACCACCAAAGTCC